CACTGGAGAAGGGCCTAATGCTGGGAAAGATGGAGGGCAAGAGAAGAAGGGGACGACAGAGAAGGAGGTGGCTGGAGGGAGTCCCTGAAGCAGTAGGGGTGAACTTAAATGGACTCCAGAAGATGGTAGAGGACAGGAAGGCCTGGAGGAACGTGGTCCGTGGGGTCGTGATGGGTCGGACACGACTTCGCAATTAACAACAACGACAACAGTAAGCAGCAGCCCCGCCAGTCTGTCCCATTTTTTTGGAAAGGTTTCTGAGGTTCAGCAAAAAAAAAAAAATATCTACTTTCTCATTGTTTAAAACCCACGGCTCTTTTGCTCTGGACAGTTCAGCCCTGCGAAGGGTGGAGGGTCGATCGCCGAGTTTGCAGGCTGCTTTCCAAACATTTTGTTTCCAGGCTAGGCTACGTCTTCAGTGGAGTATGGGGGATGTCGGTGTCAGGGGGGGGAGAGGGGGGTTATTCTGTTTATAAGGGCTTCAGGTGTGGGTGTGTCGAGTGAGGGTCTTGTGATGGGTCTCGGGGAGGTTGCTGTTAGTTGTCTGCACCCCCAGATACTTAATACTGTTGACCACCCCCATAGTGGCATCTTTGATACTGCGTGGCTTATGATTGTTCCTTCTCCAAGCAGTCCTGTCTTCTCCCTTGGTGGCCAAAGTAAATAATAATAATAACAACAACAACAAATTTTTTTGCTATTAGTCAATTGCATGGCTCAGCTTGGAAACCTCTCCCTTTCCCCTCAGCGTGGCTGGCTCAGGAATTCTGGGAGTTGAAGTCCACGAGTCATAAAAGAGCCGAGGCGGCCTACCCCTGGCCTAGGCTCTCCTGCTCGAGCGGGGGGCTGGACTGGATGACCTCCAAGGTCCCCTTCCAGCCTTCCGTTCTGATGAAAAGACGCCACCCAGCAAATTCACCCTGGTCCTTGGCACTTGCACATCTGGCTGTGCGGTGTGTGGAAAGGCTATTATTTATTCTTTGGTGGGCTGTACAAACTCTTGGAAGGGTCTCGATCCCATCCGCAAGAGGTCTCTTAGGAAGGCAGAGGGCGGCCTCCCCTTAACAGACCACCCAGCCTCCTGATGGTTCCTCCAGAGGTTCCAGGGAGGAAGGAAGCCTCTGATGTTGCCCCAGGTCAGAGGCGGGACTCCTTCCTTTGTGATCGCCTGCAGGCCTCTTCTCCTCCTCCTCCTCCGTCTTTGAGGCTCGCGGCAGCTGCTGCTCATCCGGAGGTCCAAAAAACATCCTCAGTGGAGTCTTTTTCTTTCTTTCTTTCTTTCTTTCTTTCTTTCTTTCTTTCTTTCTTTCTTTCTTTCTTTTTATCTATCTATCTATCTATCTATCTACCTACCTACCTACCTACCTACCTACCTACCTACCTACCTACCTCTCTGCCTGTCTACTTGTCTCTCTTTCTCTGTGTATCATTTATCTATCTATCCATCCATCCATCCATCCATCCATCATCTATCTGTCATTTATCTATATCAATGTATGTGTCTCTCTCAGTGTCTTTCTCTCTTTCTCTCTCTCTATCTATCTATCTATCTATCTATCTATCTATCTATCTATCTCAATGTCTGTCTGGCTTTCTCTCTTTCTTTCTCTCTATATATATCTATCAATCTCTCTGTCTATCTATCTATCTATCTATCTATCTATCTATCTATCTATCTATCTATCTAATCCATCCATCCATCCATCTACCTCTCATCTATGTCATCTATCTATCTATCTATCTATCTATCTATCTATCTATCTATCTATCTATCTAATCCATCCATCCACCCATCCATCTACCTCTCATCTATGTCTGTCTGTCTGTCTATCTATCTATCTATCTATCTATCTATCTATCTATCTATCTATCTATCTATCTATCTATCTATGAAGCTGCGTGAGCTGTGATTGACGGGCTGGGCCTTTGTGTCCTTCCCCCCCCCTTTTCCAACTTGGCTTTTCTTCTAAAGAGGATTCTTGCTTACTGTTGTTGCTCCCCACGGGCTTCCTGTTTCTGATTCAAGCGCCCCCCCCTCTTCCCTCATAACAAGATGACAGATTTTTTGCCTCTGGCTGCTCCATCTTCCTTTTGAAGGGGGCGTTTGTGGCAGGTGTGTGTGTGTGTGTGTGTGTGTGTGTGTGTGTGTGATTTCCCTGAAAATAACACAAACGACAAAGGACAGATTGAAAAAAGCTGGCTTTAATGTCTAAGGTAGGACTAGAATTCCCAGTCTCCTGGTCTTCGTGTCAGAAGCGTTGGCCCAAAGCCACCCAGCCGGCTTTCATGGCTAAGGCGGGACTAGAATTCCCAGTCTCCTGGTCTTCGTGTCAGAAGCGTTGGCCCAAAGCCTACCCAGCCGGCTTTCATGGCTATGGTGGGACTAGAATTCCCAGTCTCCTGGTCTTCGTGTCAGAAGCGTTGGCCCAAAGCCTACCCAGCCGGCTTTCATGGCTAAGGCGGGACTAGAACTCCCAGTCTCCTGGTCTCCGTGTCAGAAGCATTGGAGCAAAGTCACCCAGCCAGCTTTCATGGCTAAGATGGGACTAGCATTCCCAGTCTCCTGGTCTTCATGTCAGAAGCGTTGGCCCAAAGCCTACCCAGCCGGCTTTCATGGCTAAGGCGGAACTAGAACTCCCAGTCTCCGGCTTTCTAGACCAAACGAGAGCAAAGCAGGCGCTTTGTTTGCCAAATGATGATGGTTCTTACTCATCTGACATCCTCTCCAAGCACGCTGCTGTCTGTGTTTTCCTGGAGAGCGGCGTGAAGGCATGACCGCCTCTCCCTCAAGCAGACACAGAGCGAGGCGAGGCTGTGGCCAGGCGCATTGGTGAGTCTAAGGCCTGACTTCTGCCAAGCTGGCCCACAGCTACAGGTCCCGCTGCGCCCGGGATGATGATGCATGAAGAGAATCTGATGGCAAACTGGTCGAGTATTTGTTCTAGGCATCCCTAGGGTCTCCACTCCCTGTTCCTAGGACACGCTCTCTCAGCCTTAGCAACCGTAGGATGGGTGGACTTCAACTCCCAGAATTCCCCAGCCATTGTGGCAGCCTTAAGATGGGTGGACTTCAACTCCCAGAATTCCCCAGCCATTGTGGCGACCATACGATAGGTAGACTTCAACTCCCAGAATTCCCCAGCCATTGTGGCAGCCTTAAGATGGGTAGACTTCAACTCCCAGAATTCCCCAGCCATTGTGGCAGCCTTAAGATGGGTGGACCAACTCCCAGAATTCCCCAGCCAGCCAGCATTCCCCTGGCAGCTTACAGTTGCCATGAAGCCGGCTGAGGAATTCTGGGAGTTGAAGTCCACAAGTCATCAAAGGGTCCTAGTTCCCTCATGCTGGCTGAGGAATTTTAGGAGTTGAAGTCCACAAGTCAAAAAAATCATAGTTCCCTCATGCTGGCTGAGGAATTCTTGGAGTTGAAGTCCACAAGTCATAAAAAGATCATATTTCCCTCACGCTGGCTGAGGAATTCTGGGAGTTGAAGTCCACAAGTCATAAAAGGGTCCTAGTACCCTCACACTGGCTGAGGAATTCTGGGAGTTGAAGTCCGCATGTCCTAAAACGGTCATATTTCCCTCACGCTGGCTGAGGAATTCTGGGAGTTGAAGTCCACAGGTCATCAAAGGGTGATAGTTCCCTCACGCTGGCTGAGGAATTCTGGGAGTTGAAGTCCACAAGTCATCAAGGGGTCATAGTTCCCTCACGCTGGCTGAGGAATTCTGGGAGTTGCTCTGAGTATAAATGGGTCACAGACGGACGTTTGGACTTCATGTCTTCTCCAGGGCCTACGTTTCTCTCTTCATGAGGCACCTGTGCGAACCGGGGGCGGACGGCTCGGAGACCTTTGCCGACGGGGTGCCGAGGGAGGGTCTCTCCCGACAGCAAGTCCTGACACGGATAGGAGTCATGTCTCTGGTTAAAAAAAAGGTACGGGGCTGTGGGGCAGCAAAGGCGGATGGGTCAGGAGGATGCACCCATCATCCACTGCCCTTCCAAGTACTTGGCACTGGTGTGAGGAAGGCTTCCTTCTCCAAGGGAAAATGGAGGACATGTTGGTTTAAACCAGGAGACAGTGAATTCTAGTTTAAACTAGAATTCACTGTCTCCTAGTGATTGGCTTTAAAGTACCCAGCTGGCTTTCGTGCTTAAAACGGGACTAGAACTCACTGTCTCCCGGTAACTGGCCCAAACTCCCTATTTGGCTTTCCTGGCTAAAGGGGAACTAGAATTCACCGTCTCCTGGTGGCAGGCTTTAAGTTACCCAGCTGCCTTTCATGCTTAAGGCGGGACTAGAACTCACCGTCTCCTGGTAACTGGTCCAAACCCATCTTTCTGGCTTTCATGGCTAAAGTGGAACTAGAATTCACCGTCTCCTGGTGATTGGCTTTAAAGTACCCAGCTGGCTTTCATGCTTAAGGCGGGACTAGAACTCACCGTCTCCTGATAACTGGCCCAAACTCACCTATCTCTCTTTCATGGCTAAAGTGGAACTAGAATTCACCGTCTCCTGGTGATGGGCCCAAAGTTACCCAGCTGGCTTTCACGCTTAAGGCGAGACTAGAACTCACCGTCTCCTAGTTTCTAGGCCAGCACTTTTAACCATTGCACCAGAATAATCTCTAGTTTTTGCTTCTTGTTTTTGTGCGTTCTATAAAATTCCAGCCAAGAATTTGCCAGGCTAGACGCTTCTCTGCTTCTGTGGAAGGGTTTCATTTTTGTAAAATTGCTCACGGGGGGCATGGGTGTGTGTGTCTGTGTGTGTGTATCTGTGTGCTTTTGCGTGATAGGTACAAGAGTTTGAACACATCAACGGCCGCTGGAGCATGCCCGAGCTGATTTCCGATCCCAGCGCTGACTCCAAAAAGTCCTCCCGGGCTTCGTCCCCCACCGTCAAGACCTCCACCACCACCCCGGACCCCAGCTGCACCAATACGCCTTGCACCTCCAAGCCAGGTAGGCGCCCAGCGGAGCTGGAGCCGGGATCGGTCAAAAGGGAGGGGGGGTGACCCGAACCCCGAATCCCTTCCCCTAACGCAGTGGTTCTCAACCTTTTTAATGCCGCGACCCCCAACCGGTCGTAAGTCGAGGACTACTCAACGGGTGCAGCACCGTTTGCAGACTGGGGCTTTTGGCGGGCTCAGCAGGGCAGAGACAGCCTGGACAATTCCTATTGGCTTTGGAAAGCCAATCGAATTAGACTCTATTCAAGAGAGTCTGTTCTATTGGCTTTCAAAAGCCAATAGAATAAAAGGGAGGAGCACAGCTAAGGAAAAGGGGGGGGGGAAATGGCGGACTGCGTTGTTTGGCGACCCCCGTGAAATGGTCGTTCAACCCCAAATAGGGTCCCGAACCACAGGGTGAGAACCACTGCCCTAACGGCTTTGGAATCCACCCCCCGAGCCCCATGGAAGGCGGGCGAAACGGACAACGCCAAATTCCTCTTGATAATTTTACCGCCGCCTTTTCAAGAGGCTAGTCCCTGTTGCCTAGTGTATTGGAGTCAGTGGCTCTGCAGCAGTGGCCAAAATGGTGGAAACCTTTTGGGAAAAAGTGTACAGTAGACATGCCACCTTTGGTTTAAGTTTCCACCCATTTTTCTTCTAATTTCTTTATAACTGCAGCCATGTTCACTTAATAAATACTATTTTACATGGTTTTCTGGGCGACCAGTCAACTCTTTGCAACGTTAATATAATTTTATGACGTTTTACAAGCTCACTAAACGAAAGAACACAAAAAAAAAACCCCAACCAACTTGATAGCGATCACATCACACACTGACAAATGTCCTCCTCTCGGCTTCAGCACATGAGATCAATTCCTGGATCTTATTGTGATCTGGTTGGCTCATGGCCAAAACAAGAGGACACCCGATTGGCTCGCTAAACACTCATGCTCATTGGCTATCATCGGATGAAGGGAAGCTACCTGAGATCAACCTAAGCACATTGTGCTTCCTTTTTTTTTTTGGCTATTTCATAGAATACAGTATAGATAATTGAACAGACTTTGTTGCATTACGTTCTTCATTAAATGATCTTTCCAGTGATAATATAATTTTATGGTACTACTCTAAAAAATAAAAAGTGGTGTTATTAGCCATTAAACCTCCAAAATACACTTTTCCCAAAAGGTTTCCACAATTTGGGCCACTACTGTAAATGAGCCCATCCCCGTGCGAAGAAATTAGAATTAGGCCGGGGTGTGGGTGTGTTTCAGGCTGGATCCCTAATTAAGTGAAGCCGTGAATTAGGGATTCTGGTCATTAAGCCATCATCCCAGGCTTAATGACCAGAACTGAGCTGGTTGCTAAGCGAGACAAATGGCTTTTGCCCTGTTTTACGGCCTTAACCGGCAGTTCAGGGAATCGCGGCGGCCGCTAAGCGAGTCACGGGGTTGTGAAGGGACTCTGGCTTCCCCCATTGACTCAAGGGGATGAGATGACCGTGGGACCCAGCAACGGTCCTAAATACAAGCCAGGGGATCGACCCAGATTGGATCCTATGACGTTACCCTGAGACGGGGGTATTCATTTGCATTCGTCCTTGAGTCCTCCTTCCATCCTCGGGACGGTTGTGCGTCGGGATGACGGATCAAATGTATTGTGCCCTCCGTTCCTTCAGCTACTCCGGCCCCCAGCGACAAAGGAGACGGGGTCCTCTCGGCCGACAAGGAAGATCTGGAGACCCGGGAGGAGAAGTTGGAGAAGGAAGCCAAGGGCAGCGAGAAAATGGAGACCGAGGTTTGCATTCGACTTTCCCTAGACTGGACAAACCCAATTCCCGCCGCCGTTCTTTGTGCGACCGAATTGGAGGCGGTGTGGAGGCTCCAAGGGCGGTGGGGGAAAACTAATAATAATAATTGTTCCCGGGGTCTTTTTCTGCCCCTGCGACCTGCCTACCTGGGTGAGGGGGGGGTCTTTCGCTGATGGGAGCTGCCTTTGAGTTCCTCTGCCTTGCATTTTCCCAGCCGTCCGCGCCCGAACAGCCCCTTTCTGCCACCTTCGCAGGGGATAAAATGGAGACGGAGTCTTCGAAAAAGACGCAGGACGAGGGGCCGACGGGGGTCAGGGAGAAGGAGTCCGAAGCCGAAGCCGCGGTCAAAGAAGAGAAGGAGAAATTGGGTGAGGGTTGATCGGGGGTCTTGTCGTGTCCTGCTTCCGACAGATGAAACGCTTCAAAACAACTTCGAGGCATTGTCTACCTTAAAGAATCTTTATTTTGAGTAGCGTGACATCGGCACGGGCATAGGCCAAGCCAAAATCTGAATTCCCCTCCCCTGAGCAAACAGTATCAAACACAGTACCCTCCTCCAATTAACAGTCATAAATCACATTCTCCAACTAGCTTGAAATGCAGGCTTCCCCTCCAGTTCTCCAGCCCCGCCAATCCTTATCATCTCTTATTTCAAAAAACTTAGTTACAGTATTGTTATTCTCGCTAAACTCTCAGGCACATTCCTCCTCCTCCCCCCCCCCCCAGTATCCTCTAAGTCTTTCTAAGAGTAAAACACAAGAAGGTTGTCAAAGGAAGAACATCCAATGTTAGAAGCGTTGACAGGTCGTGTTTCAGCTTTTTTTTAAAATTTTTTTTTGTTGTTGCCATTTTTATTTTATTCAGAAGATTGAAAGTGTAAAACCCGAAAGAAAAAATAGTAATAGTAATAATAATAATTAATAATAATAATAAAGTTGGAAGGGACCTTGGAGGTCATCTAATCCAACCCCCTACTCAGGCAGGAAACCCTATACCATTTCAGACAAATGGCTGTCCAGTCTCTTCTTAAAAACTTCCAGTGTTGGAACATTTACTGCTTCTGGAGGCAAGGAGTTCCACTGGTTAATCATTCTCACTGTCAGGAAGTTTCTCCTTAGTTCTAGGTTGCTTTTCTCCTTGATGAGTTTCCATCCGTTGCTTCTTGTCCTGCCTTCAGGGGCTTTGGAGAATAGCTTGACTCCCTCTTCTTTGGGGCAGCCCCTGAGATACTGGAACACGGCTATCATGTCCCCCCTCGTCCTTCTCTTTGTTAAACTACATATCCCCAATTCCAGCAATCATTCCTCGTATGTTTTAGCCTCCAGTCCCCTGATCCTCTTTGTTGCTCTTCTCTGCCCTCTTTCTAGAGTCTCAGCATCTTTTTTACATCGCGGTGACCAAAACTGGATGCCGTATTCCAAGTGTGGCCTTACCAAGGCCTTGTAAAGTGGTATTAACACTTCACATGATCTTGATTCTCTCCCTCTGTTCATGCAGCCCAGCACTGTTTTGGCCTTTTTGGCAGCTGCAGCACACGGCTGGCTCCTATTTAAGGGATGGTCCACTAGTGAAACAGAGACCAAACAAGACAAAAAAAAAAAAAAAAAACATTTTAAGTAAACGTTTTAAAATAATAAAAAGGTGTTAGAAAATACACAGTCGGGGACACACACACACACACACACACACACCAGACATTGACGCCTCTGGCCATGTTCGTGCATGGAAAAATCACCCGTGGCCTTTTTGCAAAGTGGGTCTTTTCCCTTCCCTTCCCACATATTCCTCCTCTCTTCCCAGATGCTGATTTGGAGAAGCTGGTGGCCGAGGAAAAATTCACGGAAAGCGATGACAGCAAGGAAAAGATGGAGGGAGAAACGCAGGATCCCAAGAAAGGTAAGGCCTGCGGGAAGCAGGATTGACAGGTGTGTGCTTGCCAGGAATTCTTGCCGGGGCAGGATTTGCACCAAGGGCCATAGTAGCTTAGGGCAGTGGTTCTCAACTTTTTTAATGCTGTGACCCCCCAACCGGTCGTAAGTCGAGGACTACTCAACTGGTCGTAAGTCGAGGACTACTCAACTGGTGCAGCACCGTTTGCAGAATGGGACTTTTGGCGGGCTCAGCAGGGCAGAGACAGCCTGGACAATTCCTATTGGCTTTTGAAAGCCAATAGAATTAAGACTCTATTCAAGAGAGTCTATTCTATTGGCTTTCAAAAGCCAATAGAATAAAAGGAAGTAGCACAGCTAAGGAAAAGGGGGGAAAAAATGGCGGACTGCGTTGTTTGGCGACCCCCGTGAAATGGTCGTTCGACCCCAAATGGGGTCCCGACCCACAGGTTGAGAACCACTGGGTTAGAGTGAGCCACCTTGCATCCTGGCTAGAAAGAGGTGGTGAGAACAGCTGTTTAGGTCAGAAATGTCCAACCGTGGCCACGTTGAAGGCTTGTGGACTTCAGCTCCCAGCATTCGTCAGCCAGCTGTTTTTTACACTTTGCTGAAGTCAAGATGTATTGTGTCGGCCACATTCCCACCGTCTATTGAGAAAATTACCGCGTCAAAATTGCAATAAAGTAGACTAGCCACCTTTGTTCTTGTCCTAGCCATGCTGAATTCTGGGAAACCCTTGCTGGCTGGGGAATGCTGGGAGTTGAAGTCCACAGGTCTTAAAGTGGCCAAGGTTGGACACCCCTGCTCTAGATCGTTAGCTTTGATTGCTCTGGGCTGCTGGGATACCCCAACGCTGGGCTGGGGGTTAGTAAAAGCTCTTTTGATAGGACAAGAGAAGCGATCGTGCCAGCCAGCCCGCCTTTCCCCCCCCCTTGCCATTGGCTGGCTCCTGCGGGGGGGGGGGATTCCATGCAGTCTACCCTCCAGACCACACATATCCCGGGGACCGGATGCAGCCCGCGAAGTGGTTTCATGTGGCCTGCAAAGCCCTCGCTGCTTTGGCCCTGGCCCAGGCCAGCCGGCCGGGAGCCAATGTACAATTTTGTGGTGGCCATCTTGGCACCTGCCCGGTGGACCATGCCTTGGCACTTGCCCCAGTCCCACCCCCTTCTGCCAGAGACCCTCAGATCTGTCCCACTCCTGCCCAGGCCCCCACAGGCCCCCTTGACACGAACAGTGTAGAACTGGCCACACCCACCCAGTAGGCCACACCCACCCAGTAAGCTGCACCCACTCTGGCCACACCCACGCCCCCCCCCCAGGGCAACCGCAATGCTGATGCGGCCCTCAGTGAAATGTGAGTTTGACACCCCTGCATTAGATCTATCCAGTGTACAGAAAAAAGTTGTTGAAAGCTGTAACAAAAATTGAGTTGGACACCCCTGCTCCAGACCGACCTACAAATTGTGGGGTGTGTGCGAACTGAGTAGCCTTTGACCTGGTGGCTTCTCAGCCAGGTATCCCAGCTGACCAAAAGCGAGAAGGGAGGGGTGGAAAAACGGATCTGGTCCAAATCCCCCTTTTTCTTGACTGCCAAGGAGACGTCAAATTGGAGCGGGAGACGGCCAAAGAGTCCAGAACTGGCAATCTCAGAGACGAGAACCGGAATAACGGGAAGAGGGAAGAGAGGATGGAGAAACCTCGGTTTATGTTCAACATCGCGGACGGTGGCTTCACGGGTAAGAGACTGCCTCCGTGGTGAAGATCTGGGGGGGGGGGTTTCTGTGGGTTGTTTTTTTTTTTTTTTTTTGCTTCTTCTGTTGTTTCCATCACTTTGCTACTCGTTACGTTTAGGCTTCTTTTCGTTCTTTTTCATTCTTCGTTCTTCTCATTCCCCCCCCCCCCCGTTTTTATTGCTATAAGCAGCCCTAGAGCACAGCTCCGCAGCGAGATGAGTGGCTGATACATTTAACAAATCAATCACTAAATAAGAATGGAGTGGAATGGAATGGAATGGAATGGAATAGAATAGAATAGAATAGAATAGAATAGAATAGAATAGAATAGAATAGAATAGAATAGAATAGATATTGGAATGAATGGAATGGAATGGGATAGGATAGGATAGGATAGGATAGGATAGGATAGGATAGGATAGGATAGGATAATATAATAGATATGGAATGAATAGAATAGAATAGAATAGAATAGAATAGAATAGAATAGAATAGAATAGAATAGAATAGAATAGAATAGAATAGAATAGAATAGAATAGAATAGAATAGAATAGAATAGAATAGAATAGAATAGAATATGGAATAGAATAGAATAGAATAGAAATAGAATAGAATAGAATATGGAATATAATAGAATAGAATAGAATAGAATAGAATAGAATAGAATAGAATATAGAATAGAATAGAATAGTGAATAGAATAGAATAGAATAGAAAAAAGAATAGAATAGAATAGAATAGAATAGAATAGAATAGAATAGAATAGAATAGAATAGGAATAGAATAGAATAGAATAGAATAGAATATAGAATAGGAATAGAATAGAATAGAATAGAATAGAATAGGAATAAGAATAGAATAGAATAGAATAGAATAGAATAGAATAGAATAGAATAGAATAGAATAGAATAGAATAGAATAGAATAGAATAGAATAGAATAGAATAGAAAATAGAATAGAATAGAATAGAATAGAATAGAATAGAATAGAATAGAATAGAATAGAATAGAGTAGAAAGAATGGAATGGAATAGAATAGAATAGAATAGAAAATATGGAATGGAATAGAATAGAATAGAATAGAATAGAATAGAATAGAATAGAATAGAAAATATGGAATGGAATAAAATAGAATAGAATAGAATAGAAAATATGGAATGGAATAGAATGGAATGGAATGGAATAGAATAGAATAGAAAATATGGAATGGAATGGAATGGAATGGACTAGAATAGAATAGAAAATATGGAATGGAATAGAATGGAATGGAATGGAATAGAATAGAATAGAAAATATGGAATGGAATAGAATAGAATAGAATAGAATAGAATAGAATAGAATAGAATAGAAAAGAAAAGAAAATATGGAATGGAATGGAATGGAATGGAATAGAATAGAATAGAATAGAAAATATGGAATGGAATGGAATGGAATAGAATAGAAAATATGGAATGGAATAGAATAGAATAGAAAATATGGAATGGAATGGAATAGAATAGAATAGAATAGAAAATATGGAATGGAATAGAATAGAATAGAATAGAATAGAATAGAATAGAAAATATGGAATGGAATGGAATGGAATGGAATAGAATAGAATAGAATGGAAAATATAGGATAGAATAGAATTACAGGATAGGATAGGATAGGATAAGATAGGAGCTGGAAGGGACCTTGGAGGTCTTCTAGTCCAGCCCCCCGCTCAAGCAGGAGAACCTATGCCATCTCAGACAGGTGACTATCTAGCCTCTTCTTAAAAACCTCCAGTGATGGAGCACCGAGGATTTCTGGAGGCAAGCTGTTCCGCTGGTTAATAAATTATTTTCATTTCTCCATTTCTCCTCCAGTCCGCGGAAAAACCTTTCTCCACGGAACTGGTGGTCCCTGGTGCCCAAAAGGCTGGGGACCTCTGCTTTAGGGTTAGGGATTAGTGTTAGGGGGCAAAGCTCCTTTAGCAACTGTCTGGCTTAGCAGCAGAAATTGTGGGGGCAGTAAATGGAAAAACTACCTTAGAAAGCAGGTAAATTCAGTCCTGATTGGGGAGGGGGAATAACACCGATGGTTGGGAATGTAAAACCTTCCGGGGGAGAAACTGAGGATTTATAGCTGGTTTCTCAGACCGACCCAATGGTGACTTTTCTCCTGCTCTCTCTGGCCAGAACTTCATACCCTTTGGCAGAACGAGGAGCGAGCTGCCATCTCCTCCAGCAAGCTGAACGAGATCTGGCATCGCCGACATGACTACTGGCTGCTGGCCGGCATCGTCCTGTATCCTTTAAAATTTGGAAAAGGGGGGTGGGGGGGAGGGGGTGTTGCCCGTGATTTCCGGTGAAGGTGGAGAACAGGACACCCTTTGTGGGGAAGCGAGAGGGGAGAAGGACACCCGTCTTGAGAAAGAGCTGGGCAAGTGGTCGCAGGGGAGGGGGTCCTTGGTGCTCTCTGAGCTGGGTGGGTTTTCTTGCGGACATTTCATGACCTAACCAGGGAACATCCTCAGTCCTAGAAGGGATTGAGATTAAGTAGCACTGAGGATGTTCCCTAGTTGGGTCATAAAACGTCCATAAGAAAACAATCCAGCTCAGAGACATACAGTCCTCCTCCACTGCACAGCCCCCCTCTCCTCCCTTCCAGCACTGATCTTACTTAGTTGGGCCCTGAAACCTACGCAAGAAAATCACCCAGAGTACACCAAGGTTAGGGGGTTAGGGCTAGGGTGAAGGTTAGGTTTAAGGTTTAGGGTTAGGTATAACATTTAAGGGGTAGGGTTAGGTTTAAGATTTAAGGTTAGATTTATGGTTTAAGGGCTAGGGTTAGGGTTAGATTTAAGATTTAGGACAGGGGTCCCCAACCCCTGGTCTGTGGACCGGTACCGGGCTGCAGCACACCAGCGACCGGGTTAGGGGGTTAGGGTTAGGGGGTTAGGTTTAAGGTTTAGGGCACGGGTCCCCAACTCCTGGTCCGTGGACCGGTACCGGGCCACAGCATACCAGCAACCGGGTTAGGGTTAGGGGGTTAGGGTGTTAAGGCGTTAAGTTTAAGGTTTAGGATGGGTCCCCAACCCCTGGTCCATGGACCGGTACCGGGCCGCAGCACACCAGTGACTGGGTTAGGGTAAAGGGGTTAGGGGGTTAGATTTAAGATTTAGGACAGGGGTACCCAAGCCCTGTTCTGTAGACCGGTATCCGGCCGTAGCACACCAGCAACCGGGTTAGGGTTAGGGGGTTAGATTTAAGATTTAGGACGGGTCCCCAACCCCTGGTCTGTGGACTCGTGCCGGGCTGCAGCATACCAGCAACCGGTCTGCACAAACAAGGCAAGCCCCATCCCCGGGATGCAGGCAGCACACAACACCTCACCCCTTCCGGTCCGCGGAAAAAAACCTCTCTCCACGGAACCCGGTGGTCCCTGGTGCCCAAAAGGTTGGGGGCCTCTGCCCTAGAGGGAGTTGGGTGAAGAGGAGGAAGAGGGTTCCCTACTCTGCGCTCCGAGAGGCCGCCCTCCGTGGGGAACTCCTGCCCGCAACTGTGGACGCCCCTTAACCGGCCCACCCCTGCAGGCACGGCTACGCCCGCTGGCAGGACATCCAGAACGACAACCAGTTCGCCATCATCAACGAGCCCTTCAAGAGCGAAGCCAACAAGGGGAACTTCCTGGAGATGAAGAACAAGTTTCTGGCCAGGAGGTTCAAGGTGGGGCGAGGAGAAAGCGAGAGCCCCCCCCCCCGCGGGCTGAGAGACGGGCTGGGCTGGGCTGGGGCTGCGGGGGTGGCTTTGGAATAACGCTAGCTAGGATGTGTTGTTTCTCTGTGGTTAAATGTGTGTGTGCGCGCGCGTGTGGTTATATGCCTAATCTTTTGTTGTGTTTATGCGGTGTATATTGGAAGGGGTGGCCCTTTGAGGGCTGAACGCAACGAGATTTCATTTTAATGTATGCTGATTAGTCTACATTTAAAGTGACAATAAAGTTTATTCTGTTCTGTTCTTGCTCTATTCTTTCTCTATTCTATTCTGTTATTCTATTCTATTCCATTCCATTTTCCTATTCTATTCTATTCTATTCTATTCTATTCTATTGTATTCCTTATTTCTTTTCTATTCTATTCTATTCTATTCTATTCTATTCTATTCTATTCTATTCTATTAATTTCCGTTCCATTCCATTCCATTAATTTTTATTCTATTCTATTAATTTCTATTCTGTTCTGTTCTATTCTATTCTACCCTATTCTTTATTCCTATATTTATTCTATTCCATTCCATTCCATTCCATTCCATTCCATTCTATTAATTTCTATTCTATTCTATTAATTTCTATTCTATTCTATTAATTTCTATTCTGTTCCGTTCCATTCCACTCCATAGTTTCTGTTCTGTTTGAGTGGAAAGCCCCCTTGTGTGGGCGCGCGTTTGGTTATATGCCTAATCTTTTGTTGTGTTTATGCGGTGTATATTGGAGGGGGTGACACCTTGAGAGCTGAATGCAACGAGATTTCATTTTAATGTATACTGATTAGTCTACATTTAAAGTGACAATAAAGTTTATTCTGTTCTGTTCTTGCTCTATTCTTTCTCTATTCTATTCTGTAATTCTATTCTATTCTATTCCATTCCATTCTCTATTCTATTCTATTCTATTCTATTCTATTCCTATTAATTTCCGTTCCATTCCATTCTATTAATTTTTATTCTATTCTATTAATTTCTATTTTGTTCTGTTCTATTCTATTCTACCCTATTCTTTATTCCTATATTTATTCTATTCTATTCTATTCTATTCTATTCCATTCCATTCCATTCCATTAATTTCTATTCTATTAATTTTTATTCTATTCTATTCATTTCTATTCTGTTCTGTTCCATTCCATATGTTCTGTTCTGTTCTGTTGAAGTCCACAAGTCATAAAAGAGTCGGCAAGGTTGCCTACCCCTGCAGTAGCCCAACCGGTGTAAGTCGAGGGGAAAGCCCCCCTTGGCCTTCTCCGGGGTGCCCGCTGCCTTCTGACCGTCTCCCCCGCCTTGTTTCTGCCAGCTGCTGGAGCAGGCCCTGGTGATCGAGGAGCAGCTCCGCCGGGCGGCCTACCTGAACATGACCCAGGACCCCAGCCACCCCGCCATGGCCCTCAACACCCGCTTTGCCGAGGTGGAGTGTCTGGCCGAGAGCCACCAGCACTTGTCTAAGGAGTCCCGGGCCGGCAACAAGCCCGCCAACGCCGTCCTGCACAAGGGTAAGAGGAGGGCGGGGAGGCGGGCGCGACGAGGACAGTCCACGTAACTCTCCCCCTCCCACACACACACACACCTGGCCTCCGTGCGTGGACCCTTCTGTATCCCCCTCCCCGCTCTGAATCCATTAAAGTGCGGTTGTGCTGTGCAAAGCCACTGTGTGTGTGGTTGTCTCCTTGATCCTGCTCTTTGTGTATCTCTGCTTCGGGTCTGTCCGCGGAGTATCCCCCTAGTATCTCTGGAGAAATCGGGGCCCTCCCTTTGGAAGAGATCCTCTGAGTATCTTCGATATCTCTCTTTGAAGGTTTTTCCTCTCCTCCCTCGCTTGCTGAGCGTCCCCCCAGTAACTCTGGAATGAGCATCTCAGGGGGGGGGGGTAGGACCGGGGTCCCCAATTCTCCCCCCCCCCTCTAAGCTATGGCCTGTTGGAAACCAGGCCGCAGGAGAAATGGGCAAGCGCGTGCAAGATGGAAAGGTGGGGGACCGCCTAGGTGGTAAACACGCTTGGTGCCCTCGGTTGAACTTTCAAAGAAAAACAGCCAGAAAATATTCTCGCCTTAGAAACCGCGTGCTTCTGGGATATCTAGCTGGGCGCCCGTCTGGTCTGGTCTGCATCCTTCATCAAGTATTGTGAATGGTCAGGATCCACTGTTGTGCCCATCAAAATGTCACATCTCAGATAGATAGATAGATAGATAGATAGATAGATAGATAGATAGATAGATAGATAGATAGATAGATAGATAGATAGATAGATAGATGATGGAGGGAGAGAGGGGGGGATGGACATACAGATTGGATGGATGGATATGATAGATAGACAGACAGACAGACAGATAGATAGATGATAGAGGGGGGGATGGACAGACAGATTGGATGGATGGATGGATGGATGGATGGATGGATATGATAGATAGATAAATAGATAGATAGATAGATAGATAGATAGATAGATAGATAGATAGATAGATAGATAGATAGATAGATAGATAGATAGATGATGGAGGGAGGGGGGGATGGACAGACAGATTAGATGGATGGATGGATATGATAGATAGATAGATAGATAGATAGATAGATAGATAGATAGATAGATAGATAGATAGATAGATGATGGAGGGAGAGGGGGGATGGACAGACAGATTGGATGGATATGATAGACAGAAAGATAGATAGATGATAGAGGGGGGGTTGGACAGACAGATTGGATGGATGGATGGATATGATAGATAGATAGATAGATAGATAGATAGATAGATAGATAGATAGATAGATAGATAGATAGATAGATGATAAATAGAAGCTAGATGATCGTGACAGATAGATGATAGACAGACAGACATCATTGGCTGCATAATTTTGGTGCGTTCTTGAGTTTCTTTGGTTTGTCTCCTTGCCAACTCCGCTCTGTGTCTTCTCACAAGTATCCCATGAGCATCGCCAGGGTTTATCCTTTGGGCCATTGAGTTCTCTTTGAATAAACAGCCCTGTCACTAACTGAACAGCCCTGTCACTAACTGAACAACTGCAGCGATTCCCTGGCAAGGAAAGGTAGTCAAATGGGGCCAAAGCTCAATTCATGACTGTCTCACTTAGCAAGGGAAATTTGGGGGTCAGTTATGGTCATTAAATGGAGGACTACCTGTATCTCCTGCTTCCTGGCTGTTTTCGGGTGCTCCTTCCGTTGTTGGATGATGGGCTTCTAGGTTCAGCCCCTTCCCCACAGGGGTAGGCCACCTTGGCTCTTTCATGACTCGCGGACTTCAACTCCCAGAATTCCTCAGCCAGCATGGCTCAGCATGGAAACCTCTCCCTTTCCCCTCAGCGTGGCTGGCTCAGGAATTATGGGAGTTGAAGTCCACCAGTCACAAAAGAGCCAAGGTGGCCTAGAACAACTGGCAGGCCCTTAGCTCGCCTGGAAACAGGACTTTCATCACTGGAAGTCTTCAAGAACAGACTGGACAGCCCTTTGTCCGGAATAGAGTAGGGGGTTGGACTAGATGATCTCCAAGGTCCCTTCCAATTTGACAGTTCCCTATCCTACAGAACCAGACTTCCCAACTGAGAACAGTTAACCAGTGGGACAGCTTGCCACCAGAAGTGGTGGGTGCTCCCAAGCTGGAGGTTACTTTACATTGTCCGGAATGGCATACCGTCTCCTGCTTGAGCAGGGGGTTGGGCTAGACGACCTCCCAAGGTCCCTTCCGGCTCCATTCTGATTGAGATTGGGAAGGAAGGCGGTGTCCAGGAAGTGTGTGGCCCGCCAGGGAAGGTCATGGCTAGCGTTGGCCCTGATGGACTTTGCTTTCTCTTCTTTCTCCTTCTTCGTCTTCTTTCCCGGCGGCTGGGCCAGTGCTGAACCAGTTGGAGGAGCTGCTCAGCGACATGAAGGCCGACGTGACGCGCCTGCCGGCTACGCTTTCCCGCATCCCTCCCATCGCTGCCCGGCTCCAGATGTCCGAGCGCAGCATCCTGAGTCGCTTGGCCAGCAAGGGGAACGAAACCCAGAGCGTTCCGGTAAATGCCAGCCTTCTCTCTCTCTCTCTGCCTACCTTCCTACCTGCCTATCTATCTTTCTATCTACCTACCTACCTATCTATCTCTCATCTCTCTGTCTGTCTCTGTGTCTATCTATTCTTCTCTCTCTTTCTCTTTTTCTCTCTCTCTCTCTGCCTACCTTCCTATCTTTCTATCTATCTATCTATCTATCTATCTATCTATCTATCTATCTATCTATCTATCTATCTATCTATCTATCTCTCATCTCTGTCTGTCTGTCCATCTCTCTCTGTGTCTGTCTATCTATTCTCTCTTTCTCTGTCTCTCTATCATCTATCTATCTCTCATCTCTCTCTGTGTGTCTCTGTGTGTGTGTCTCTGTCTATCTATTCTATCTCTCATCTCTCTCTGTGTATGTCTTATTCTTCTATCTCTCTGTGTGTCTATCTATCATTTATCTAGTCCAGTGGTTCTCAACCTTTTTAATGCCGCGACCCCCACCAACCGGTCGTAAGCCGAGGACTACTCAACCGGTCGTAAGTCGAGGACTACTCAACTGGTGCAGCACCGTTTGCAGAATGGGACGTTTGGCGGGCTCAGCAGGGCAGAGACCGCCTGGACAATTCCTATTGGCTTTGGAAAGCCAATAGAATTAGACTCTATTCAAGAGAGCCTCTTCTATTGGCTTTCAAAAGCCAATAGAATAAAAGGGAGGAGCACAGCTAAGGAAAAGGGGGAAAAAATGGCGGACTGCGTTGTTTGGCGACCCCCATGAAATGGTCGTTCGACCCCAAATGGAGTCCCGACCCACAGGTGGAGAACCACTGGTCTATCATCTCTCTCTCTCTCTCTCTGTGTGTGTGTGTCTATCTATCTGTCTACCTACCTATCTCTCATCTCTCTGTGTGTGTCTCTGTCTATCCTTCTATCTCTCTCATCTCTGTCTCGCTCTGTGTGTGTCTCTATCTATTCTTCTCTCATATCTCTCTGTGTGTCTATCATTTATCATCTCTCTCTCTCTGTGTGTCTGTCTCTCTCTCTGTGTGTCTGTCTATCTACCTATACCTACCTATCTCTCATCTCTTTCTGTGTGTCTCTATTCTTCTCTCTCATCTCTATCTATCAATCTCTCATCTCTTTCTGTGCCTGTGTCTATGTCTGTCTGTCTGTCTACCTACCTACCTACCTACCTACCTGTTTCTCTCTCTGTGTGTGTGTGTCTCTCTGTCTGTCTATCTACAAAGTCTCTTTTTCCTGGCTTTTCCCCTGCAGTGCGATTGGAACTTAAGTTTTGTTCGTTTTACTATTTTATTTTACTTTATATTATATTTCACTTTTAATTTATTTGCCACCCAACCCAAGTCCCTTTTTCCTGGCTTTCCCCCCTGTAGTGCGATTGGAACTTAAGTTTTGTTTCGTTTTGCTATTTTATTTTACTTTTAATTTATTTGCCACCTGTCTCGTAACGCAACGCCTCTGGAGGGCTAACTGGTGTCCCTCTCCCTGTCTTTTTCCTTCGGCAGGCCTTCCCTCCTGGACCCTACGCCACCCCACCTAGTTTTGGGGGCTCCTTCGGGGCCACCCCCGGAGGGGGCCTGCCCACCTTGGGGGCCAACTACAGCCAGATGCCAACCGGCTCCTTCATAACAGGTCAGTTGGGGACGAATGCGCAAGGCTTGTGAGTATGACGACACCGTTGCGGTGGTTTGCACAAAAAACCGGACAGTTGGTTTATGAAAAAAAAAAACCCAGAACGTCACCTACAGGAAGGCGGTCCTCGTCTTACGATGACAGCCGAGTCCAAAATTTCCATTGCTAAGTGAGACAGCGGCTGTGAAGTGAATTTTGCCCCAACTTGCTACCTTGTTTTTGTCGCAGTGGTTAAGGGAATCACCGCAGTAACCGGTCGTTAAGTGAATCTGGCTTCCCCATTGACTTTTGTTAGAAGGTCGCAAAAGGGGATCACGTGACACACTGCGACCGCCATAAATAACGAGTCAGTCGCCAAGCCTCTGAATTTCGATCACACGACCGAGAGGCTGCAACGGTCGCCAAGCGTGAAAAACGGTCACAAGTCATTTCAAAGGCAGGGAGTCCTCAACTTAGCGACCGCAACGGAGCCCGCCATTTCTATCGTGAAGCGAAACGTTTGTTAAGTGAATTTTGCCCCGTTTTATGACTGACACGGGACCCTGGGGGATGCATGCAACGGTCGCCAGTGTGAGAAATGTTTATCGGTCGCTCTTTTCAGTGCTGTTGTGATTCCTAATGGTCACTAAATGAATAGTTGTAAGTCGAAAACTGCCTGTACTAAAGGCAGGATAGAAATCTAATTACATACATACATACATACATACACATATAGATATATATCCATATCCATATATATATATGTATGTATAGCAGTGTTTCTCAACCTTGACCATTTTAAGGCATGTGGACTTCAACTCCCAGAATTCTGGGAGTTGAAGTCCACATGCCTTAAAATGGTCACGGTTGAGAAACACTGATGTATAGTATGTACATATGCACGCACACATCGTATTTCCCTCAAAATAAGAACTGCCTGTACTAAAGATAGGATAGAAATCTAATACACACACACACACAGACACACACACTGTATTTCCCTCAAAATAAGAACTGCCTGTACTAAAGGCAGGATAGAAATCTAATACATACATACACACACATATATACACACACATCTATCTATACACACACACAGAGAGAGACATCTATATCTATCTATCTATCCATATATATATCTTATATCTCTCTCTATATATATCTATATCTATCCATATCTATCCATCCATCTATCTATATCTATCTATTCTATACACACACACACACACACATTCAAAATTTTTGTGGCTGACAAAGAGTTAGTGGGAGACTAGTATAGCTATTTCAAGCTCTCTCATCAGTTAAAGAGCTTGAAATAGCTATACTCATCTTCCACTCTTTCTCAGCCACAAAGTTTGAATTTACAGTATTCACAGTATGTTTCCCCCCCCCAAATAAGCCCTAGCCAGAAAATAAGCCCTAATGCGTCTTTAGGAGCAAAAATATAATATAAATTAATATTTTGGGGGATACATGGCGTGCATGTATGTGTATACACACACACACACACACACACTGTGGAGATATATACCGTTTTTTTCTCTCTCTCCCCCACCTCCCCAAATATCCTTGCAGCCAACGGGCCCCCCGTGATTGTGAAGAAGGAGAAGGAGGGCGAAGGCCTGGAGAAGAAAGAAGCAAAAGGCGGGGAGGTGATTTGCATAGACGACTGAGGGGGGGGGGCGGCTGGGCCACCTGCCCGCCGAGCTCCCACCCGCACCGGCCCCCACCTCTGCTCCGAGGGCCCCCCCTGTGGCCCTCCGGCCTCTCCTTTTTGATTTCCGGATTATGTGACGGCCTGGAGGGGCCCCCGCCGGCGATTCCTGCTCTTTCTCGGGACCCCCGCCTCGGATTCGAATTCCTCCTCCCCCGCCCCTCCCCTTCCTGCGGGGGGGGGGAGACAGCGGCCGGCCCCACCCGGAAACCTGGACTTTAGACTGACCAAGAGGTACTCAGGACCGAGCTGGTTTGTATTCCCCCCCCCCCCGGCTGACGGTTGTGGGAGGGGGGGGCCAAGTTAAAGAGCTAGGCTCCGGGCTGCCTAGGGCTCGGATATAGGGGAGGGGGCAGCCTGCTTTTGTGGGGGGGGGGTCTTTGCCACCCCCCTCCCCCAGTGTCGAAACTTTCGAGAAGCACTGCAAAAAAAAAGGACTCTTATAAATATGAATATATATATAATGTATACACATTCAATGCTGTATGTTTAATCCTCTTTCCTTTCTTGGGCCTGGCTTCCCCACTGCGGGGAGGGGCAGAACGCAGAGCCCCCCCGTGACCATGGTCCCTGGGAGTGGGGGGCAGTCCCCTCCCCCCCAGCCAGAACTTTTGGGGAGCCTGACCCAGATGTGTCCCCGCTTTGGGAGGGCAGGCCCGTTTCTCCCCTTCGCCCACCCTCCCCTGTGAAAGCGAGCCGGGTTTTTTTGGGGGGGGGGGGAGACACGGGGAGGGGAGGGGGAGAGGCCAAGCTGGATGGATTGCCGAATTTTGAGTCACTTCTTGTTTAAATCTCGCAGAATAAAGGCACCGTTTCCTTGGCTACATAAAAGCTCCTCGCGTTTGCCTCTTCTGTTCTGGGCGAGCGCATATACGTATTTGATATATAATATATATAATAAATAATATATTATAATATATATATATATATATATATTCTTAAGAATGCTAAAAACAAAAGGTTGATTCCTGGGTAAACTCATGGTAACTAGCAAAAAATGCACGAACACCAGGAAATTATAAAACTATAAAGTTTTAATAGGATAAAATACCAAGCTTTCGCTGGCATATATATATGTCATATCTATATCTATCTATCTATCTATCTATCTATCTATCTATCTATCTATCTATCTATCTATCTATCTATCTGGTTATTCAGGTTTTCTCCCGCGTCAAATTGGAAGTGTCTTGGTGACGTTTCGACGAAGTCTCATTCCTCATCTTCAGGCTGGTGTTTTCGGCTTCGTGCTTCTAGGAGCTCCTAGAAGCACGAAGCCGAAAACACCAGCCTGAAGATGAGGAATGAGACTTCGTCGAAACATCGCCAAGACACTTCCAATTTGATGCGGGAGAAAACCCGAATAACCAAAGACCTACAAACACCCGCGAAAACCTCAGTGTGTGTGTATGTGTGTGTGTGTGTATATATATCTATATATCTATATCTATCTATATATCTATATCTATAATGCTGTATGTTACACCCTGTTGACCCAAATATGGGAGAGAAATCTTTTGCCTCGTATCAGCTCAAACTAGAGCCATCCACAGGGAGCAGTCACAACTGTGACATCATATACATTTCTAAAATTTGGATTACTAGCAAAAAATTAAGGGAGGACTGGAATAGCTATTTCGAACTCTTTAGCTCTTTTCAACCAGACATACCCTTCTGAGAGTCGAACCTGGGCTGTCTGCATGTTAGGCAGCTGTAGCTAGCAATCCAAATTTTAGAAATGTATATGATGTCACAGTTGTGACTGCTGCCTGTGGATGGCTCTAGTTTGAGCTGATATGAGGCAAAAGATTTCTCTCTCCCATATTTGGGTCAACAGGGTGTAACATACAGCATTCTAGATAACTCCTCCCCTGTTTCTTCCCTCCCTAACACAGCTGGCAAAAGTGAGACAGAGCCTGTGGCCTAGAGGTTTAATACAGCTGCCTAACATGCAGACAGCCCAGGTTCGAATCTCAGAAGGGTATGTCTGGTTGAAAAGAGCTAAAGAGTTCGAAATAGCTATTCCAGTTCTCCCTTAATTCTTTGCTAGCAATCCAAATTTTAGAAACACACACACACACAAAATTAGAGATGCAGTTGGTAGAGAGCTGAACGAGCTGGTTCAAGTCTAGCCGTTGGTCCCTGAGTGGATGAGTGGACTTCACTTCCCAGAATTCCTCAGCCAGCCCTGGAGCTTAAGACCCACCCACCTTAAAGCATAGCTGGCTGGGGAATCCTGGGAGTTGAAGCCCGTGCATCTTAAAGCATGGCTGGCTGGGGAATTCTGGGAGTGGAAGTCCACCCATCTGAATGTTGCTGAGACGGTCCACGGAGTCTGTCCATAAACAGAGGGATTGTTTAAAAAAAAAAACCCTCTTTAGAATAAGACTTAAAAGCAGAGTAAACATCCCTGTAGCAACGTCTTGATCTGTCTTAAGCACTTTGTAGAACTTAGTAGTCCTGGGTAGCTGCGCCATGGAGGAGAGCCGGGCGTGTTTTATCGGAAAAGCTGGATTGAACTGCTAAATGTTCGGATCTAACTCAAAAGAAGCTGCTGCTGTAACAAAGGAACGATTGCTCGAGTAGGCAAACGGATTTTCAACCCGAAGAGAACCGGAAGGGACCTTAAGAGGTCCTCTAGTCCAGCCCCCTCCTGCTCAAGCAGAGATCCTATTCCGTTTCAGACAGGTGGGTGTCCAGGCTCTCTTCTCGAAAGCCTCCAGGGACGAAGCACCCACAACTTTGTGGCAGATCCTCAAATACTGGAAGACTGTCATGCCGTGTTGCCCCCCCCCCCCAGTGCTGCTTCTCTCTTCATTGCTGGCTGTGGAATTCTGGGAGTTGAAGTCCACATGCCTTAACATTGTCACGGTTGAGAAACACTGGCTAGACTGGCCAAACCCAAATTCTGCAAGCATTCTTTATATGATTTAGTCTCCTCCAGGCCTTTTAAGTCGTCTTAGTTGCTCTTTCTTTGCACTTTTCCCCCCCAAAGTCTCGACATCTTTTGGGGAACGTGGGGACCAAAACCAGAGGCACGATCTTATAAAGCGGGATTAACACTTCACTTGATTGTTTCTGCAATCTAGGGATTGAAGTTAGCTTTTTTTGGGGGGGGGGGCTGCTGGCCCACGTTTGGAACTTTGACTCTGAGCCTTAAGTCCTTTTTTGGGGGGGGGGGTACCTATTGTAACTTTGAAGGATACACAAGCAATGGATCATAAGTCAAGGGCCCACCTGTGTGTGTAGCACCTCCTGGCCCAGTTATTGGGACAACAGAGTCAGCAGGGAAAACTGGCTGAACGTGGCTTAAGCGTCCTACAGTCGCAGCCAAGATTAATAGCTGTAAAAGTTTCCACCTTTGTCATATGTCAAACTAATGGCAGCAACAGGAAGGTTGCGATTCAAACACAGCTTGGCAGTCTGAAGTAGGAATCGCCCTGATTTCTACCCAAATGATCCCTTCCACGAGTCTTGTCCTTCAGAGGCTTCCAGGTTCCCCCAAGACAAAACAACCCCCCCCAATTTGGGGTCTGACTCAGTCCAAAGATGTTCCCCCCCCAATTATTCTAATTGGGGAATTAGAGAATCTCTGGCTGCCAAAAGCTTGAGTCACATCCTGCCGGGTTTTGCAAAAGCTCCAGGCCAGGGTGTCGGTCTCACGTTTTGTGATTCAGTGGCCTCCTACGCGGTCCATTAAACGCGGCCTCGGTCCCAGGTCACGAGAGGCGGGGAAGATTACAGGCCCAGAGCGGTGAACAAACAGGATGTGATCAAGGAAGGAAGTTGCCACAATCTTTCCAGGGAGAAATCCGGATCGAAATGCCTGCAGGGCCATGGAGGTGACGGAGACACCAAGAAGCCTCAGGAAGATGGTGGCGTTCCAAAATTCTTTAAGGCTTCCTTTGCGCCTGTCGCAAAAGGCAGGAGACCCACCGGGTGGCACGTGGCCTGGAGGATTTTATCAAACCACAACGCGACAGTTTTCCTACGCCGGCCACAGGTGAAACCCAACCGGCTTCCGTTTCAATTAGGTCAAACCTTTAAAATCCTACGCGTTTATTAACATCATTCAATCACTTTACAGCTGCCGAACAATGAAAGCAGAATATAAATATTAAATTACAAAGACTTTCCAACACATTTCACAGAAATGGAATTTTTTAAAAAACAAAAGCAAAAAAAGAACAACAAAAGACAAAATATACAGCATTTGAATCTCGACTTCTGAGCAGGTCGCACCAAACTCTTCGCACGGAAAAGGGGGGGGGGCGACAAAGGACCGCTAATTCCAGTTTGTGATCGGTACAATCAGTCCTGACAAAAAAGACACAACTCCTCGGAGTGACTTTCTCGCAAACCATCGCAAGGCTACCGTTTTATCTTCCAAAACGAAGTTATTTGTTGGATCTTCGAACATATTCAATTTCAGTTCATCTAAAAAAAAAAAAAAAATTGAGAGGGCAAAGTCACCTCCTTCTATCCAGACCAGATACTCCTAAAAAGTCAAATTTGACAGCTTCCCCACCAGCAGCATCTTCTTTCTTCATTTTAGGTCTACGGATGTGAAGATTCCGATCCAACCAGAGAAATAGAAATCCTAGCTGAGATATCCATTCTAATAACTTTTAAGGGGCAGAAATGCCGACAGCAGCATCGTTCCGGAGGCGATGGTTAACATAAAATTAGATTGTTTGAACGTTCTTCATTGTCTCTGCAGGTTGCAAAATATTTTCAGCCTCTTAGATTGGGAGAAAAACACCGTAAACAAGGATTATAGGTCGCCCGGTATCCTTTTGTTCTATCTTCAAGGAATGGAGGACCCACGTCAAGTCGTATAAAAAAGGATTTATTCCATTATTATTATTTTTAAAGTCAGGTGGATTGTTATCGTTTTGCTGGGGTATCGGGGGGGGGGGGAGAAGCACTTCCAGAGAATAAGGTCTGAGCTGGTTTTTTTTTGGAAGACAAGAGATTGTGAACACATTTAGGAAGAGGCTGTTAGCATCTTCAATGAAGCCAATTTGAACCTCGAAGGAAATATATTTTTCATCCAAACGTGGCTGGTTATAGAATTCTTTTCCCTCCGTTGTGACTCGTGTCTTCTGCGAAGCGGCAAAATTAATTCCTGTCGGTTCTTCTTGGGCCACCATCCGCGCGCAAAAAGACGCCGCCCGCCGTTATCTATCCCAAACGGAGAGGGCACCGTCGCCTTCTCGCTGGAGAGCCAGTTCCCTTGACCCGACTGACCGCAAGGTAGCTTGCCCGCGTAAAGCGACCGTTGCTTTTCAGATGAGGTAGCAAGTCACGATGGCCACGTCCTTCGTTTCAGAACCGTAGGCTGTGGGAGAGGGGAGAGAATTGGCTGACATTAAACAGAGAAAGAGAACCTGGTTTGTGCTCAAAAGCATCTCAAAGGCTGGGTGTTTCAATTCTCACCTTCACAGAACACGTGTATATTTTTTTAAAAATGACTCAAGTCAGTCACTGCTCAAAACCCACATCTTGGCCCATCCCCACCATCAAATGCTCAACTCTTGGTAAGCCCCAGCAATACCAGGTTTCCACCTCCAAAATGTACTCTTATCTGTGCTTCCCTGATTTAACCTTTTAAACCAAGTCTCTCCTCAGATAAATACACATGCGGAAAATCTCCTTAGCTCCCAAAGAATTACTGATCATAGCCTTTCTCCCTTTGTAGCGAATAATATAAAATAATAATATCATAGAAAATGATAAAATTAAACTGCTCTGGGACTTCAGAATTCAAACAGACAAGCACCTGCAACATAACACCCCAGACTTAACAATTGTCGATAAGAAAGACAAAAAAGTCTGGATAGTGGACGTGGCAGTGCCTGGAGACAGCAGAATAGACGAGAAAGAGCTGGAGAAGATCACAAAATACAAAGACCTACAAATAGAAATAGACAAACTGTGGCAAAAGCAAGCAAGGGCAGTACCAATAGTCATAGGCTCCTTGGGTGCAATCCCAGAACAACTGGAGCACCACTTGGACACCATCATTGGCATTGACAAATTCGCTATTAGTCAATTGCAAAAGGCGGCCTTGCTAGGAACGGCTTCCATCCTGCGACGATATCTGTAACACCATCAAACATCCACATCTGCCTATCCCAGGTAAGGACTTGACAGGTAGACAAAAATGCAAAATCTAGTCTGAACATCTGGATGACTGTGCGATGATCCTCAATAATAATAATAATAAGTTGGAAGGGACCTTGGAGGTCATCTAGTCCAACCCCCTACTCAGGCAGGAAATCCTATACCATTTCAGAGAAATGGCTGTCCAGTCTCTTCTTAAAAACCTCCAGTGTTGGAGCATTCACCGCTTCTGGAGGCAGGTAGTTCCACTGGTTAATTGTTCTCCCTGTCAGGAAGTTTCTCCTTAGTTCCAGGTTGCTTCTCTCCTTGATTTCCCTCCAGGCCCTTTCATTGTCAAGTTATCTCCCCCCCCCCCCTTTAGAAAAACAGCAAATGCAGAAATCAAAATATAAAGGAGAACAAATGGTAAGCAGCTGAAATTTCTCTTGCTGGGGCAAATGGAGGGATTATTCTGGCCTTTCAGGAGGCAGGCAGGCTGCTTCTGACTGGGCTTTTTTTCTCCCCAGGGGAGAAGCAGATTTTGTGCGTAACGGTTGCAAAGTTTAAAGACACACAGGCGCTTAAATACAACAAAAGGCGCTTAACTGTCTAAGGGGACCGCCACGTTTTCTGACAGTTGCCCCTGGCTACCAGGCAGAAGTTGACTCTGGCCCAGGAGGATGAGAAAAGTTTTTGAGGGGTCCTTTTTGTGCTCTCTGAACTGGGTTGTTTTCTTGCAGTGCACTCACTGATGGTGTTGCCTAGTTTGGTCACGAGACGCCTGCAAGGAAACAGGCAAGCTCAGAGCACCAGGGACCCCCGTCGTCCTCCTTCTCCTCCTCTTCCTCCACTCAGCAAATCCCCACTCCCTTCTAGCACTGATGGTGTTACCTAGTTTGGTCACGAGACGTTGGCAAGGAAACAGCCAAGCTCAGACCCCCCACCCCCGTCCTCCTTCTTCTCCTCCTCTTCCTCCTCCTTCTCCTCGTCCTCCACTCAGCAAATCCCCGCTCCCTTCTAGCCCTGATGGTGTTACCTAGTTTGGTCACGAGACGTCTGCAAGAAAACAGCCAAGCTCAGACCCCCCACCCCCGTCCTTCTCCTCCTCTTCCTCCTCTTTCTTCTCCTCTTCCTCCACTCAGCAAATCCCCGCTCCCTTCTAGCCCTGATGGTGTTACCTAGTTTGGTCATGAGACGTCTGCAAGGAAACAGGCAAGCTCAGAGACCGCCAAGGACCCCTCATTTCAGCGCTGAGCTACAAATATTCTTTATTGGGAAAAAAATTGTTCTGTCAAACTGAAAGCAGAAGGGAGTCTCCGTTCCTTGCCTTTTCACCGGCAGCCTTGTTATTTATCATCTTCCTCCTCACTTCAGTCACTGTTGTTGACATGGGATAAAATAGCAGCAAAAAAGCTTTACGGCTTTGATGCCCTATCGTGCAACTAAGCAACTTTAAGCCACATTTTATTATTTAACAACAAAATCAGTAAAATGCATCCTAGATATAGTCAGCCTCATCCATCATTACATTCATGCTGACTGCCTCTCGTTAGGGCTGAGACACCCCCCCCCCCAGGTGCTTTTTGGAACAGCCAGATTTTCAGCAGCTTGCTAAAAAAAAAAAAGTCAGGAATGCTTTTTGATGTTGTAACTCAATAGTAACCCTTTCTTTTTTTTTAGGAAAGACATCCTGCTTAAGAGATGCACGCCGCTTCCAAAGCATGCAGCTCATTGCAACTTTATGAATCACTCTTATTAAAAAGCAGGACACAGATCTAAGTGCCCAGCACCCTAAGAATACTTTAATTAAAAACTAAAATATTACAATGTGTTAAATAAAAGTTACACATTTAGAACCCAAAGAGTCAAGAATTGAAAAATACATGGAAAGCTAACTGAATCATCTTGATCTCTGCTGCTGCTGCTAAGATGGAGGCCTGGTGCATCAGACCATCCAGAAAGCATCTGACAGGGAAACCTGGATATAGCCAGAAGGGAAGAATAGACAGAACCCCCCCTGAGTAGGGGGTTGGGACTAGATGACCTCCAAGGTCCCTTCCAACTTTTATGATTATTATAAATGCAGTTTGGATGGTGAGAATTGTGAAAAGGGCAATAAAGGTGGAGGACACCCAAGGGGAGAATTTCAACTGGCGGGCTCTAGGAAGACAGCCTTCTCGGCCCCAGCTTTAATAATAATAATAATAATAGTAAAGTTGGAAGGGACCTTGGAGGTCATCTAGTCCAACCCCCTGCTCGGGCAGGAAACCCTACACCATTTCGGACAAATGGCTGTCCAGTCTCTTTTTAAAAACTTCCAGTGTTGGAGCATTTACTGCTTCTGGAGGCAGGTTGTTCCACTGGCTAATTGTTCTCACTGTCAGGAAGTTTCTCCTTAGTTCTAGGTTGCTTCTCTCCTTGAGTAGTTTCCACCCGTTGCTTCTTGTCCTGCCTTCAGGTGCTTTGGAAAATAGCTTAATTCCCTCTTCTTTATGGCAGCCCCTGAGATATTGGAATACTGCTTTGTGGGAGGTCCTGCCCCCCAGAAGTGAGGGAAGACCCCAATCTCTTGGCCTTCCGCAAAAGGGTACAAAATTGTGATCTTGTGCAGAGGTGGGGGGGAGACACAGAGGACCAAGCAACTGTGGGGCTGGCTGTTCTCTTGGCAGGCTCCCCCACTTGTAATAATCCAACATTATTAACCTTAAAAGGTTGCTTGTTGGTCAAGGATTCCCGGGAGCTGCATACAACCCTGGTTTAAGGCACCACACGGGCTAAAATGGTGTAGGGCAGGGGGTCTTCCAACTTGGCCCTTGTATGGTTTGTGGACTTCCAACTCCCAGAATTCCTCAGCCCGGGCAAAGGGCCAAGTTGGAAGACCCTTGCCTTATCTGAACCTATTTAATAAAAATAAAGCTGGAAGGGACCTTGGAGGTCATCTAGTGCCTGGCTGAGGAATTCTGGGAATTGAAGTCCACAAGTCATACAAGGGCCAAGTTGGAAGACCCCTGGTCTAGGGTCTCCAGCTTGGGAGGGGTTGGACTAGAAGACCTCCCAGGTCCCTTCCAACTATGTTATTCTAAGTATCCTAAATAAGTCGAGCCAAATCCAGCAGAGGGGGGGGGGGAGTTTTAATCACATGCTGCCAATCTTGGAGGGCAATTGAGGCCACGACCCCCGTCCCCACTCTTTGCGAGCTAATGAAAGACGCTGGAGTCTCCCTGGGACTTCAATTCCCGTCATCCCTCGGGAAGGCCACTCACGGTTGATTGGTTGCCGCCTCCGCCACGTGAGGCCGGAGCCGCCGCGGCCCCGCCCTCTCCGATCCCGCGCATGCGCTTGCCGGCCGCCGCCGCCGCCTCCTTTGAGGAGTTTCTTCAGCGTCCGCCAGGGGCGCCATTGCTCGTCCTGGCCGCTCTCTTCTCCCTCCTCCTCCTCCTCCTCTTCGAGGTCTTCGTCCCCGGCTAGGCGCTCCTCGCGGCCGGCCTGCTCCCGTTCCCGCTCGCGGAGCACCACCCGCTGCCAGAGCTCGGCGTCGATGGGCGGCAGGACCAGGCGGCGCCGCCAGCCGCCGCTGCTGCGCCTCACGCCGGCCGCCAGCAGGTTGCCGCGCTCGCGGAGGGAGGTGACGGTCCGGCAGTAGGGGCACGTGACCTCCTCCCACCAGCCCTCGCGCGCCAGCTGGCACACGCAGGCGCTGCAGATCACGTGGCGGCAGCGCGAGGGCTTCCAGGAGCCGCGCGCGCCGCCCAGCCGCCGGGGCGCGCGCCCGCAGCGGTCGTAAGGCATGCAGCAGATGCCACACTCCAGCTCGGCCGCCTCAGCGATCTCGATCCCGGCCATCCCGCCGGCGGCCGCGCATCCAACGGACCGAACGCGCTCGCCGGCTCCCCCGCAGTTATATATAGTCGCGCACAGCCCCGAGCCACGCCCCCCCACGAGCGTTCTAATCCAATGAGCAGAGGCAGGAGTGTCGCGCGCGTGCCCCTAGTATTACATCCAAGGAGGAGCGAGGTGCGCGCATGCGCGCGGTGGTTAAAGGGGGGGGAGTCTGTCTCTTTAGGCGGGAAAAACGGTGAAAGGCAGAAGGGGGCGGAGCTTGAGCTGAGGCGACATGGGGTGACTGACGTGTGGTCAGGCCGAAGTTGGTCTGGTGAAGCTCCTGATGGGGAAAGCGCGATTTTTAGGTGTGCCTCCGACTTAGCCTTGGGCAAAGAGATTACAAAAAAAAGGAATATAGGTAGTCCTCGACGTAAAACCGCTCGTTGAAGTTAGAATGGCCCTGAAAGAAATGACTTTTACGACCGGTCCTCACGCTTACGACCGTCAGAGCATTCCCCCATGATGGTCATGTGATCAAAATTCAAGCCTGTATTTACCCCAGTTTCAGCCTCTTGGGGGTCACCTGATCACCATTTGTGACCTTCCCAGCAAGCAAGGTCAATGGATTCGCTTAATGACTGTCTGATTCACTTAACAACCGCAGTGCTGTTTAACAAGCCTGGCCAAAAAAAAACCAAAAAAAAAGGTTATAAAATTGAGCAGGACTCACTTAACAACTGCCTTGCTTAGCGATGGACCTTCGGCTTTCCTGGCCCGCAAAAACAATGTCGGTGGAGGATTTGCTTAGCGATCGGGCGATTCACTTAACAACCCGAGTGATTTGCTTAACAAAATGGGCAGAAAAGCTTGTAAAAGTCGCAACTGACTTAACCACTGCCTTGCTTAGCAATGCAAGTTGTGGTCCCAGCTGTCGTAAGTCAAGGACTTCCTGTATAGTGTGCAACAACCAGTATCTGCGGTCAAGCAACACAATGCAAAAAATCCAAACTGGGATATTTACTTCGATATGCTGAACCAGGTTCCCTCCAGACTGAGAGGACTACACCTCCCAGTACTCTAAGGATAAGGATAATGGGAGGTGGTGTTTCCGAGCTGAATGTTGCTGCTGGTCCCCCCAGTGCTCTGTGGCTCTGCTTCTATTTTTTATTTAAAATTAGCTCAGACCTGGTTTAATTCGCGCAGCCACGATAGGAATATTAAATAGTTTCCAACTGTTATTGTTATCCAATTATTAATATTATCCTATTATTATTCCAATTATATCAATTACTGCCTGGTATCTCACAGTGTCTGCCTATGTATCTATTACAGGGGTCTTCAAACTTGGCCCTTTGAGGACTTGTGGACTTCAACTCCCAGAATTTCTCATCAAAGGGCCAAGTTTGAAGACCCGAGCTTGTGGACTTCAACTCCCAGAATTCCTCAGCCAGGCATGCTGGCTGAGGAATTCTGGGAGTTGAAGTCCACAAGTCATAAAAGGGTCATAGTTCCCTCATGCTGGCTGAGGAATTCTGGGAGTTGAAGTCCGCAAGTCATCAAAGAGTCCCAGTTCCCTCATGCTGGCTGAGGAATTCTGGGAGTTGAAGTCCATGTCATCAAAGGGCCAAGTTGGAAGACCCCTGATAGATTACCTATTTAATTGTCCATCTACCAGTAGGCCTCCACTTATGACTATAATTGAGCCCAAAATTTCTGTTGCTAAGCAAGACAGCAGTTAAATGAGGTTTTTTTTGCCCCATTTTATGATCCTTCACGCCACAGTTGCTGACAAAATCACTGCAGTTCACTTAGTAACCCGGTTGTTAAGTGACTCTGCCTGTCAGAAGTTCGCAGAAGGTGGTCACATGACCCTGGGAGACTGCAACCGTCCTAAATATGTGTCAGTCGCCACCCAAAATCTGTTCTATTATTATTATTATTATTTTAACTTTCCTGGATTCAGTTCTGAACAGAATTTGCGATTCTGGCTAATTTTGTAGCCCAGAAGCCTTTCAGTAGCTCCCGAAAGTTGCGGCTGCAAGACTGTACTTTTTAACATGGCAGAAAGGTAAAAGGATCAAATATACCTGTCCGAAATGGAATAGGGCAGTGGTTCTCAACCTTTTTAATGCCGTGACCCCCAACTGGTCGTAAGTCGAGGACTACTCAACCGGTCGTAAGTCGAGGACTACTCAACTGGTGCAGCACCGTTTGCAGAATGGGACTTTTGGCAGGCTCAGCAGGGCAGAGACAGCCTGGACAATTCCTATTGGCTTTTGAAAGCCAATAGAATTAGACTCTATTCAAGAGAGTCTGTTCTATTGGCCTTCAAAAGCCAATAGAATAAAAGGGAGGAGCACAACTAAGGAAAAGGGGGAAAAAATGGCGGACTGCGTTGTTTGACGACCCCCGTGAAATGGTCGTTCAACCCCAAATGGGGTCCCGACCCACAGGTGGAGAACCACTGGAATAGGGTTTCCTTCCTGAGCAGGGGGTTGGACTAGATGACCTCCAAGGCCCCGTCCAACTTTATTATTATAAATAAAAAAAAATATATTTAGTGCATTGTTTGTCACCTTGCTCCCCTTAAGGTGCGTGGATTTCAACTCCCAGAATTCCTTACGTCGGCTGAGGCATTCTGGGAGTTGCTCCAGCTTGGATGACAGGCACAGATTGAGCAAACGGAAGCAAATTCCCTTTGTGCTGACTCTGCTCAGGATGAAACTGTGACTCTGGCAAGCTGGAAAACCATGATTCCTTGCCCTGCTACTCGAGATGTGCTTTCCAAGAGCAGGAGACGGGTGCCTGGAAGAAGGCAGCAGCCCCACCGGTCAGGTAAACAGGAAGCCATTAAACCGGTTCAGCACAGAAACTCCTGCCAGTTTCATTCCTGCAAGCTGGAATGTTCTCTGACAAAGGACTTAAACAGCCGGCCATCACAAGGGCTTTTGAAATAGCGGGGAATGGTTGCAAGCTGACAGCTCTTTCTGGGCCAGACACGGCTGTGCAATGTGTGATGCACAGTTGCATATTTTGTTCTGTGTGTGTGTGTGTGAGAGAGAGAGAAATCTGCAAACGCACTTGCTAATAACCCATCTTGTGAGTGTAAGGCGGTGTTTCTGAACCTTTGGGCATTTTAAGATGGGTGACTTCAACTCCCAGAATTCCCCAGCCAGGAGGCTTTTAAGATAGGTTTCCCCCCCCCCAGCTAGATTGGCTGGAGAATTCTGGGAATTGAAGTCCACCTATCTGAAAATGGACAAGGTTGAGGAATTGCGCTTGTGTAAAATCTTTATACAGAATATATTCTGTTTATTCTCTGCTTTATACAGAATATTCAGTTACAGGGTTGAAAGGGACCCAGTTCAAATCCCTGCTCAAGCAGGAGAACCTAGATCAGGGGTCTTCCAACTTGGCCCTTTGATGACTTGTGGTCTTCAACTCCCAGAATTCCTCAGCCAGGCATGCTGGCTGAGGGATTCTGGGAGTTGAAGTCCACAAGTCATCAAAGGGCCAAGTTGGAAGACCCCTGACCTAGATGGTTTCAGGCAAACATCTGTCCAGTCTCTTCTTAAAAACCTCCAGTGATGGAGCACCCACAACCTCTGGAGGCTACCTATT